TTCCCCTGTGTTTTCAGGTGGCGCACTAGGGTCCCTATGCCATGCTCACTGTGCGGCCCCAACCACCGTTGGTCCTTAAATACATTATTTTTATACCCCCACCTCATTCTTGTTTCTACTTCTACTAGCAATTTCCCCTACCCCAGCAGCAATCCTTTAGTCTTTCTTCTCCTCTGCTCCTTATCTTCCCTTTAAATTTTCATTATCTCCATCTTAAGTCAAGCAGCGACATTGTTTTCCGGTAGTCAATAAATTTGGTAAGTTGTTAAATGTGTTATTTTCATTATTTTCATCTCTCTGAGTCTAGCAACGACATTGTCTTTCCCTTTCAATTTATTTTAAGTATTTTAATGTATGTTTATATTAAAAAGAAAATAAGTTATGAAATGATATATTTTTAATTTTATATGTTAAAAATGTTAATTAGTGAAATGTGTTATTTTGCAAATTATAAAAGATTTAAAGATAATTTTACAAAATATTGACAAGTAAGTATAGATTTATATTTATTTTAAATAGATTGTATATTTTAATTTAAAGTAATGTATACATTAGTTTTAAATACAATATGATGTAAATATGTTAGTTGTAGAAAATTGTTAGTATGTTTAATTTATATTTGTATTATTTGTGTTAGTAGAAAAATTGTAAAACAAAAATATTTTTTATTCGGTATGTTGAATTCTGTTAGTAGAATTATTGTTAAAAATTACATTTATTAATTTAACATGAAAATAAATTATATAATATTTAATAATTTTGTGTAATTAAGATAAATGTTTTGCTGAAAATATATATTGTTTCTGTATTATATTTACTAAAATTGATATATTATTTGTTTTATATGGATATATAAACCATAATTTAAAGATAAAACGTTAATGGAAAGTGTTTAATTTAAAATATATAAGTAGTATTTGAAGTCATATATAAAAATAATAATGAGTTAAAAAAATAAAATAATAATATTTGAAAATAAATAGTTAACGACAAGTTTTTAAACATAATTTAAAGAAAATGTTCCTAATAAATAGAAAATGGAGAAAATAAAATTAATATTAATTAGTCACTATTTAGTGTTTCATGTTTATTAAAACCGGTAATTTATATATAGTAATTTGGAAGATTTATTATATATTAATATTATAACCGATATTTGAATGAAATAATGTTGGTATTTATTAAATAATAAGTAAAATATATAAATATCATTTTAAGTTATATATAACCTCAAGCGTGTGGTTTAGCGGTAGGGGTTAATCCACGCTTAAGCAAGGTCAGGGGTTCGAATCCTGCTTAGTCACCGCTATCGGCCCTGGATACTCCAGGGACGAACAAAAAAAAAAGTTATATATAAAGATTTTAATTACTGAAAAATAATTTTAAAAATAAATTAAATAATAATAAGTGATGGTTTATTGTTTAATAATTATTATAAGAAACCTCTTGACGAAATAATTTTATTCATAAACTTTTATTAAAAAATATATGGTAATTTTTAACCTTAATTTTAAAAATAGTTATTCCTAAATAGGAATTGGAAATAATTTAATTAATAATAATTAGAGAATGTTTAATATTATATATTTATATATAATATGATCGAAAGTCAAAAGAGAATACTATGTTAATGATTAAATATTAATTAATATTTGTAAGTAGTATTTAAACTAATTTTATATGAAATTTATTATAATATATATTTTAATAAAAAAAATATTCGTAATTATTTAATATTAAGTAATATATGTAAGTATTATTTAAATTAATATATAAAAGAGTTATCGAGTTAATAAAAAATTTTAAAAATAAATTTAATAATAATTAGTGAAGATATATTGTATAATATTTATTATAACAAACATATTTAGCAAATAAGTGTGTTCATAAGTATTTTTTAAATAATATATCTAAAAAATATTTAAGTATAAATTTGAAGTAGTTATCACTAAATAGGAGTTTGAAATAATTTAATTAATAATAATTAGACAATGTTTAATATTTTATATTTATTGTAAAAAATAATTTAGTCATATTATTATCTTAAATATTAATTAATAATAATAGATGTAAGTTGTATTTAAACAAATAACATGATAATATATATATATATATATATATATATATATATATATATATATATATT